ATTTCTGGAGGGTTAACAGTTCCATGTAAAGGAATGGCATATGAACAGTGGCTATTTCGGGTGTAGCAGACAGCTGCTTCTGAGGTGTGACCTAAAAAGTGGAGGAATTACAAAGCATTTAAAATATTTTCCTCTGCATTATCTAAAATTCTTTGTTGCATTTTCTTCCCCAGTTTTAAATATTGCGGAAAAAATATATATGTATATGTAATTTACTATCTTAGCCATTTTCATGTGTACAGTGGTATCAGACACATTCATGATATTGTACATCCATCACCACCACTCAGCTCTGTAACACTTCATTTTGTAGAACTGAAACTCTGTAGCCATTCAACATTAACTTCCTGTTCTACCTTCCCCCCAGTCCCTGGTAACCACCACCTTATTTTCTGTTTCTATGATTTTGACCACTCTAAGTATCGCGTACAAGTGGAATTATATAGTATTTGTCTTTTGGTGACTTGCTTATTTCATTTAGTATAATGTTCTTGAGGTTCATATGGACACACATTGCAGTATATGTCAAAATTTCCTCCCTTTTTAAGGCTGAGGAATATCTCATTGTATGTATGTATCACATTTGCTTATCCATTCATCCACTGTTATACACCTGGGTTGCTTCCACATTTTAGCTATTGTGAATAATGCTGCTATGAATGTAGGTATCCAAGAATCTCTTCCAGAGACTCTATTTTCAATTCTTTTGATTATATACCCAGAAGTAGAATTGCTGGATCATATGGTAATTTTATTTATTTTTTTGAGAAACTGCCATACTTTCTATTAATGGACAGGGGCTGGCTTGGAGCGGGCCTGCAGTGTGTAAGTTCTTGACTTTATGTAGGAGAGATTTCACAACACGGGTCCAGGGGATTTTGACAGTATGTTTACTAAAGCTGGGGGCAGTGAGACAAAGGAGGGACTTAGGGTAGAAGAAGGAACAGGAGAGTAACAGAGGAGAGTCTAGGTAGTGATCAGCTTTGGTTCCCTGCAAATGTTGTGGGAAAGGAGGAGCCAAGGCTTGGTTGCTTTTAACCCCCCAGGGAAGTCAGAGAAAAAGGGGTTCTTGGAGACAGGATCTGGGGGTTACCAGGGTGACCCCTGTCCACTGCTCCCTTGGCTGCAAATCTCATGAAGACCCTTAGAGTTTAGGGGGAAGTAAAGAGTTCATGCCCGGCAAGGGGCATGGGACAGCGCTAAAGTGAACCTTTCCCAAGTCTTTGTCCTGAGGGCTTTCCACCTTTTTTCTGCAGGTGAGTCTTAGGGGAGGGTTTCAGTAGAATATTCATCAGCTTTTGGGTGCATTTTTAATACATTGATGAGTCAAAATGAGGGATGGGGGTGGGCTTGGGAATATTCTTTGGTCTGCTGTACTGTTTTACTTTTATCTTGGGTCTGTCTGGCTGTTTAATGGGGTTTTTGTTATTTGTTCACTTGACTTTATCTGTCTTTGGGTTTAGCTGGCACAAATGGCATTAGTTGGGTCTCTGTTCTCCATTTCCCCAGACCAGAGAGATTTAAACTATGTATTCATTGGTTAGAGAGGACGGGTATAAAGTATTTGCTCTCCAATGTCCTTGGTTAGGGGAGATACGGCCTTAGAATTCACCAGCTGGCTGTAAATTGCTCCAGTTGTTTGGCCTTGTTTAGTTTTCTTGTCTCAGTTTCCCCATGGCACTTGCCTAGGAGTTTTCCTAGCTTTTTACTATCCTGTTTAACTTTCCCACAGCGGCTGGGTCATTGTTTTACACTTCCACCAATGCGCACAAGCATTTCAGTTTTTCCCGGAGAGGGGCTTTTAGCTTTTTTTTTTTCTTTTTAATAGCAACCATCCTACTGGGTGTGAGAGTCTTTGTTTCATTGATTACCACTTGAAATTCTATTGTCAAAGATTTATTCATTTGGGGTTAACAAGCACCCTTTTAAGAGGCAAATATACTTAAGAGGTCTGTTTCTCTTACTTCCCCTTGTCAAACTGATTCTCTTGTGACTTCCAGGAAGTAATGGGCAGTAATTAAAACCCCCACTTCTGCCCTAGTGGGGTGGCTCAGTTGTTTGGAGCCTTGTCCTGTGCACCAAACAGTTGCAGGTTTGATCCTCAGTCACAGTACATACTTGGGTTGCAGGTGTGGTCCACAGCAGAGTGGGGACTGTACAGGAGGAAAAGCAATAAACATATCCTCAGGCGAGGATTAAAAAAAAAAAAACCAACGAAAAACCCTGTACTTCTCAAATCATGCACCCTTAGCCCTGACATTGATTAATTTTTTTCAAGTGAAGGGACTACTGCTTGGAGAAGTATTTATATCATTTGCTAGCATTTCTGGTGTAAGGATTGGCCCCATTATCAAGTGTTGGAAATTGTTCTTAAAAAAACAAGCCCCAGATAGGGCTCCACCTATTTGTGAAACTTATATTACATTCAAATTATTTAATAAACTTATTTTAAAACATTGATTGAGTAATATTCTGGGTGGATCATACTAAGCTAAACCCTTAAACTCTTTAAAATACAAGCTCCAGGAGGTCAGAATATTTTTCTGTTTGGCTCACTGCTTTCTTGTTAATGTCTAAAATAGTGCCCAGCTCATAGGAAGGGCTCATTAAATATTTGTTGAATGAATGGATACATTCTGAAGATATCTGTGGTTTTCAAGTGCAGTCCATAGTCTGGGGTGCCTGAGAAGGTTTCAGGCAAGTCTGCATGGTCAAAACTATTTTCCTAATGATAGTAAGACATTACTTGATCTTTTCCAGTATTGACATTTTCGCTGATGGTACAAAGGTAACAGTGGGTGAGTCAGCTGGCATCTTAGTGTGAATCAAGTCAGCATGGCATCAATTTATAGTAGTGTCATTATATTCTCCACTGCCACCCCTATGCAAAAAATTAACAGGTGCCACTTTCACTTAAGACTAACCTTGACAGTACAAATTATGAACTTAATGAAATCTCTTTCCTGGAGTATATGTCTTTTAATGTTCTATGTGATGAAATGGAAGGTGTACATAAAGTACTTCTGTTTACTGAAGTATATGGCTGTGCAGTTGTTTGAGATGTGTGAGTTGAATTAGTTGCTCTTTTTCACAGAACACCATTTTTGTTTGAAAATACTGACAGAAAAGCTGTGGTTATTCAGAGTAGGATACTTGAACGAAATGAGCCTGACACTCTGGGGAAAATGATAGAAAGTAATCTATTTCAATATTTGAGCTTTCAAGCCAAAATGGTAACTTTGGAAAATATGGTATTCACCAAAGTGATATTAGCAGCTTCATTGGATGTCAGTGAAGATTTTAATAAGTGTGATTTCAAAAAATATTGAACGATGAAATGCACCAATATTTGGAAGATCTGCATTATTTAGTAACCAGTATTTTCCAAATGTTTTCAGATACCCCATTGTAATTAACCTTTAAGAACTACCATTTTTTTGAGTTTTGCTGGTATCAAAGGGTATCCACAATAATTGAAGAAGCCTACAAAAAATCTGTGTGAGATAGAATTTCTTCGTTTCCTAGACCCAAATAACATAGTACAACAGAGAATGGGGAAGCAAATACGATAATTCAGCTGTTTTCTGTTAAAGCCAGACATTAAAGGAATTTGCAAAATTATAATACAATGCCACTCTACTCAATAATTTATTTTTAAAAGTGTAGTTCTAATTTATAAAATGTATTCTTCACATGTAATGATTTATTATTGTTTTAGGTGAATTGATAATTTTAAAAAAATTTAATTGAATTTATGAGGATGAAACCGGCTAATAAAATTACACAGGTTTCAGGTAAACAATTCTATAATACATCACCTCCATATTGTCTCATGTATTTCACTACCCTAAATAAATGTCTTTAATTCCTCAATTTAAATTTCTAATTTGGTGAATATCCCACATAAAAAGAAAGTCCCTTGAGGTTCTTCATCATTTTGAATATAAAGAGCCCTGGCAGGGTAGCTCTGCTGGTTAGAGCGACCTCACGCACCAAGGTTGAGGGTCCATCTCCCGTCAGAGCACGCACAGGAACCAAATGAACGCACAAATAAGTGGAACGCATGGGTTTTTCTGTTTCTCTCGCTCCAAAAATCAATGGGGGGGGGGGAGACTGTAAGGGGATCCCGACATCAACAAAATTCAAGAAAAGCTGCCTTGAAGTATGTGCAATAATCTCCACCTGACAGACGAGGAAACTAAGATTTAGAAAGATTTAGGACCAGTTTAAGGCCACAGGGTCAGTGTAGTGCTGGGTATAGTACGTAGCTCCAGAGCTTGTATTTGTGACCCTAACTTTTTCCTTGATATTATCTTTTCTAACACTATCTTTAAACTGGTAGTTAAAAGACATTTCAACAACGCAAAAAAGTCTTCGTTATATTCAACAGAATGCTCATTGTTACTAAGTAAGCTGCACCATCCCTCCTCGGAGTCCTTCGAAGAGTGAAACCAGTTGCTGAACCATCTCTCAGTCCGGGTTTTCGCTCTGACAATCTGGGGTTTTACGAACCTGAGTAGGAGTCTTCTGATAACTCCGCTAGGGAACTGCAACCACCCGGGTTGAATTGGGGACTCTCTGGAATTTGAAAAACTCCAAGAACCGGGGCGTTTTCTTCCACGACCCTCCCACAGTCAAGACCGCGCCTCGCAGAACCGAAAAACTGATGACAACGTTGCCTCAACTCCTCGGCTCCCGGGACTCCCTCTCAGACCTTTGATGATTCCCCCTGGCCGCTGATTGGATGGACTGACAACCATGGGCGGGACGCTGCCCTGGATTGGACGTCAGAACCCCTTGGTCACCCGTCACCAGCGTTCACCCTCCAGCACCCAGAATGATTGGTGTGGAGTCCAGGCTGCCGCCAGGGCCTGGGTGGGGCCAAGCGCGCCTTGTGGGGAAGCGGGATCGCCACTAAGAGCCTGGGCCTGCAGGGGTGGGGCGTCCTGGGCACCCGGGATTGGCGTGTCGGGAGCTGTCTCCCGTCGTGCACTGGGGCACCGGCCACTCACCCGGAAGGAGAAGCCGAGACGGGTTATGTGGTGGGGCGCTGGCGCTGTTGCTGCGGAGAGTAGGTGCTGCTCTCAGGTGAGGGGGCGTGGGCGGGGCCGCGGCTGCCGGGAGCGGGTGCTACTTTGATGTGAGGGTCGCAGGCTTAAGCGTCAGTAGTGACTTTTGGGATGGGGATTTCCCTTGACATCCTAGGGGCTGTCTTTCCTCCCGTAATAAGGGCCGTTACTTGCTGGGAATCCTGAGAAGGAAACCCGGCTTTTGCATTTATTTTTAAAGGAATATAAAGCATCTTTCCTTCCAACTCCCCAAGATTATTAGAAAAAAAGAAGCACCTTGTGGCTTTTTGCTCTTAGTTCGTTAAGAACGGAGGGGGAGTGGCCGGAGTCAAAGAGTTTGGGTGTCTTCACCCAAACTAGCCGTTTAGGTGAAGGGACTAGGGACAAGGGACGAGTATTTTAGGGGGACAGGGGAGGCCCTTGCGCTAGACTGTGGTAGCCTTTGTGACTGACCTTCCAAGTGGAAGGAGTGGCATATTACAGAGGGACAAAAAGAATGGAGCAGAGCTGGTTGAGAACACTCGGAGGTTGGTCAGACGGGAAGCTTCCTTTGCCACCTTTGGGGACTTAGGAAGGAGAGCTTTTTGAGTTGCCATCTGGCTCAAGAATAGGTAAGGAGGGATGGAAGTCTCGGTGGCTCAATATACTTTTACCACGATTGTTTTTTTAACCTGTCTCTTGAAGTAGTTTAAATGGAATGAAAAAGACGGGGAGCTGAAGCCTTGATTTGTGACATTGGGAAGTTTTACGAGGAATCTACTTGGTAAATGGCAAACAACTAGATTCTTCTTGGAGTTATTGGTGTTGGCACATATGGGGAAAGTAAAGGAAACCTCAGGTATGAGTGAAAGGGCCCAGGAAATGGAGTTAGCGCTGAGCTGTATAAGTAGTGGAGAGAATTCCTGACTCTATCCTTATTTGGAAGACATATGGCTCCATCCCCCAGATCATGGAGCCAAACTTTAGAACTTCTTCCTCTTCAGGGAACTGAGCTTCATTTCCTTCTGAGGAGTGGCATCAATGGGGAGGAGAGGAAGCTAATGGAGATTGCTGGAAACTATTTCTTGAAGTCTAGGTTTTAGCATTTGTTCCATTGTTTTTAAGGAAAGTTACAGCTGAAACTTTCTTAGGGACCTTTGAATTTAGATTTATGTACAAAGCATCTTGGAGGCAGAGGGTCCTAGGATTTTTAAAAAATCTATTTATAGCTTTTTGTTTCTAAGTGGCATTAGCCCCAAAGGAAAGGAGAGGAACTTGCACAGGGAGGTGGTACAGAGCCCTAGGCAAACTGTCTTTGAATCTAAGAGAGTGATGTGTATTTGGTTACTAAATTATAGTACTGCCTTTGGTAAACCTTTCAAGGCACAGAAAGTGTGTGAGCTCCACCATGCTTATGGCAACTACGATTTCCTTGGTGTGGTCTTTCCTGTTGTTACTTCTGTGAAAAGACACTGCAGAATCTTTTAACTCTGCTCCTGGCCTGGCAATTTACCAAATGCCTGGGAAAAAAAGAGGGAAATGTATTTTTAAATCTGAGTAGGTTCATCATTCACAGTAAGTTGGCCTGCTCTTTTTGGTTGCATCCATTTGAGTGCTTACATTGGGCTTTTTATGCACCACGTTGTAACGGCATTGGGACTGCTATTTTTCAGTTCAGGAGTCCTTTGCAGTGGTGAGTGCATCAGATGAAAACTCAGGTGGTCAGCAGGAATACTGTTTAAGATGGTATTGCAATCGTAAAGCCTTCGGTTTGCTTGACCGTGTCGCCCGGTTTTTTCATCTGCCGTGCACTTTGTCTCCGAGTGCAGTGTCTGTGTGGAGGGACCTCCTGGTACATTGGAAGGAATTGGAAAAGCTGTTTGCTCTGCTCATTTGGTGGTGTAAATGAGTTCCCCTTCTTTTGAAACATTTGCCTTGTGTTAGCAAAACATAAGATAGAAAGGAACTCATTACACACGCTCTTCTAATGGTAAGGCAGAACTAATAAGGGAATGTGTTTAAAATTAATTGTGGGACTGTAAAAGCGAGTGGATGTGAATGGGCATGGGGGGAGGAGAGGGAGATCTTAGAGAGTCTTGTTTTCCCAGGAGCCAACGCAGATCATTTGTTGGCAGTACATATTGGCTGAAGTCAGTTTTCATTACAAGGTAAATTGAAAAGGGAAATTAAACCTTATTGTTCTGCTCTTAAGAGAGGAGAAGGGGGTGCAGGTGGCAGCCAGGGTGGTTGCCGTCGGAGTGGTTCTGGCAGTAATAAGATTAGTGCTGTATTTTAACAGAAGGTGACATCATGGGCCCCTTTGGACTTGAGTAACCCTGTGCTGCAGCCTTCATGGTCCCCTTGTTGGAGTGGGCGATGTCGGTGCACATGTAAACTACCACGTTGGGGGAAATCAGCAGCTTAGGTTTTAATGAATCTTTACAAAGGAGTGGAAAACATCCTGAATCGACCTGTGTAGCTGTGGGGTGTTTGGGCGGAGGCACAAACCGGATGGCATGTCCAGCAAGGAAATAATTAGAACCTTGGGCTTGCGGTCTGGAGAATAAGTGATTCGATAAGGGAAGGTCGAAACTGAGTAACCCATTCAGGTGCTCCCCGTGCTGTCAGACTGTGTTTGACCTCTGGGGGAGAGGACTGGTTAACAAGACAAAGAGAGACTAGGAGGATGTGTTTTGGGGGGCTAGGCTGTCTCTGAACAGCCAGGAGGGGGCGATGTTAGGTTCCTTTGCAAAGCTGTGCTGTGTGTGCCCACAAGGCTGTTCTGCCTGCAGTCTTCAGGCAGAAAGGGTTTGCAACTGAACCTCCCTGTTTGTGGGGCTTGAGGTCAACACAGCACAGACCAAAATGTGCTTTGGTTAGAGGTGGCATAGTAAGGGTCTTGGCTATGGTCTGAAAAGGGAGGCAAACCCCCAGAGCTTGTAGCTGTTGTGATGTGGGGGAGTTTTTTTTTTGCTTCCTCTTAAGTTGTACTTGAGGACTGAAAAAGGTGCTTGGGTTTCCCCAGGAGAGTTGATGAAAAATTTTTAGGGTTTTGCCCTGGTAAGAATAGAAGCACACTAACCACAGTTGTCCCCTTGTCATTTGTCCCTTTTCAGATGTTTTCTTCCAATGGGCTTTTGGTGTAGGATGTTGGAGAACCAAGAGCCGGAGGTAAGCAAGTGGTCTCCAGGGAGCAGTGGGTAGGTTCGAGGGGGTTTAGGAGAAGATGGGGATCCTTGCTCCGCGGTGTTCCTCTGACGGGAATACCTCGGCGATTCTGATGGGCTCGAAGTAGAGTCAGGAGAAGGAAATCAGTAGTAAAGGCATTTCTGGGGATTGAGGTTCCGTTTTGACTAACTTTTCCATTCCTTAGAATATACTGGAACGTAAGCTTTGTGAGGGGAAGGATTTTTGTCCTCTATCATGGTTTTCCCCCAGTGTCTTAGAAGAGTGCCTGGCACATATTGGGTCAATAAGTATTTGTTGAATTTAATGAACAAATGAATAAAAGTTGGTGCTGTTTGGAAAAAAAAATCTGCCAACCTGTGTTGTCAAAGATGTCTCACTGTGTGGCTGAGTTGAAGCTGACGGAGCATTTCTTACCCTCAGGAGGTGATCACTGTGCGTGTTCAGGACCCCCGCGTGCAGAATGCAGGCTCCTGGAATTCTTACGTGGATTATAAGATCTTCCTCCATGTAAGTGCATTGCACTTCTATATTGGGATCAACAGTCTCCAGGGCGGAGGGACAGTGCCGAGGCAGAACCTGTCTCGGAGGGAGTAGAGGAGCAAGAGTGTGGGCGTGCCCGAGAGTTGCTTGCAGGCCGTCTGGTAGCACCTTGCTCCTGTGTGCAGCCTCTGAGCAGGACTGTGGCCTGTGGCTTAGATCCCCGGTGAGAGTGAGGATGGAGGGTTGTGTGCTCTTTGTCTTTTTCCACTAACCCCTTTGATGTACTTTTTCCTGCAGACCAACAGCAAAGCCTTCACTGCCAAGACATCCTGTGTACGTCGCCGTTACCGTGAGTTCGTGTGGCTGAGAAAGCAGCTACAGAGAAACGCTGGTTTAGTGTGAGTCTGTATGTGCTTTCTTCTTGGGGGTCTGAGACTGGCTTTTGGGTGCTTACTTGGGAGTTAAGAGTTGACAGTGAAGAAAACTTGGCAATGTGCCAGACACTAAAGAAATTGAGAAATGTATTCTTAAATTATGTTTATCAGTGAAAAAAGGAAAGACAGAGTTCTTATTTCTAGTATTTTGACCTAACTGTTGCATAGGAATAGCAGAAATATTCTTTGTATGCATATTAGTATAGGGCTGGACAAATGTGCTGCTCACATTATACATGTGCTTATCACTGGCTGTCAGAAATTTTATCACCTGGACTTATCTGACAGGTGATCCGGTCCATTTGACATGTAAAAATTGTGTGTTTTTTTTTTTTTTAATGCAAAGACCTTTTCTCAGAGGCACAATAGGCTGAGAGCCCTAAGAAAGACCTCCCAAAACCTTAGGAAAGTCCTAACACTGGAGGCAATATAGAACAGTGATTCTACCCCAGAATGGCCACTGAATGCTCTGTGATGGATGGCCCGTTGACGACCTAGCTAGGCAGTTATCATGTGGGACCGATGAGGACACTGTCATGGGTCCGGCCTTCTAAGCCAGTTGGAGCTTCCCCGACAAGCCGTGCCTGTCTAGCCTTGCTGTTACCTTTCAGAGTTACGGGCTGAGCCTCACAGGAGAGGCTAAGGAGCTTTAGAGTTTGTGGGTGACAACTCAGCTACTTTTAGGAAATTCCAAGCATATGACTTTCTGGGATTGGCATAGGTAGTCTCAATCAACACACAAGGACCCCGCATTTTCTGTGTCTCTATGTCTAAGTTTCTCCCTTTTAAGAATGATAGTTGATGGTGGGGGTGGGTTTTGTAAACAGTGTAGTATAGAGCATGGAGTTGGAAGTCATAGGCCGGTGTCATACCAGTTCTGCTGCTTACTAGCTGTGTGCACTGGGATGTTTTCTCAACTTCTCTGATTGTATTTCCTTGTAAAATGGGAGTACTGATATCCTTCTCATGGGGTTTTGGGAGGATTAATGAAATAAGGTGTGTAAAACATTAAGTGTAGTCCCTGACACAAGGCACGCCGTTAGTCACTGTTAGTGTCCCACCCCTGCCATCTTATTAAAAGTCATTTGTATTGATTTGTGCCTCTTCTGGGAGGATTTCCTTGATCAGGGGCTGAAGTGACTGTCTTGGATGTTACCCTTATTTGGGGTGTAATATTATGTGACTCCACAGGCCTGTACCTGATCTTCCTGGGAAGTCAACCTTCTTTGGCAGCTCAGATGAGTTCATCGAGAAGCGACGACAAGGTCTGCAGCACTTCCTCGAAAAGTAAGTGGACGTGCAGGCTGGCACTTGCCTCTGAGGTGGGGGCAGAGAGGGGGACGGTGAGCAGCAGGACAGCTCACTGAACATGCAGGCGATTTGCGATAGACCCCTTTTTTGTACCCCCATGCTCACTCAAGCCAGAATCCTCCAGAGGTTGGGGCTGTGGAGAGCAAATCCTCGGGGTGATGCTGTGTGTTGTCCCCCTTGTGTTTGCCCCAGGGTCCTGCAGAGCGTTGTCCTCCTGTCAGACAGCCAGTTACACCTCTTCCTGCAAAGCCAGCTCTCGGTGCCCGAGATAGAAGCCTGTGTCCAAGGTCAAAGCCCTATGACTGTTTCTGATGCCATTCTTCGCTATGCAATGTCAAACTGTGGCTGGGTCCAGGAAGAGAGGCAGGGTTCTTGTCACTTGGCTAAAGGAGACCAGCCTAAGAGGTAACTGAAGCTCTCTTTGTTGAGACACTAGGAGCTAGGATTACTGTAACCCGGGCTAGAGAGGTGCTCGCTTGATAGAGAGAGTAAAGTTCACAGCAGTCTTTTAGAAGGAGCCTCATTCTCCTCGTGTGTGTCTCACATTCCATGCACAAGAGTCAGTGTTAACCCAACCCTGGGTAGCAGGCTTTCCTATAGAAACTGGGGGAGAAAGAAGAGAAGGCTTTCCTATTTGTCCTGTCCTTTATGTTTCCCGCTTTAAAACAACTTTATTGAGATATAAATTCACCCTTTCTGTGTACGATTCAATAGTTTTTCATTTATTCACAATGTTATGCAACCATTAATCACCACAGTCAATTTTAGAACATTTTCATTACCCCAGAAGAAACCTTGTACCCATTAACATGACTCTCCGTTTTCTCCAAGCCCTAGTCCCCAACAAGCCCTAATCTGCTTTCTGTGTCTGTGGATTTACCTAGTCTGGATTTACCATTTCACACAAACGGAGTTGTAAGACATGTGGTCTTTTATGACAGGATTTTTTTACTTGGATCTTTTCAAGGTTCATCCATGCTGTAGTGTGTATCAGTGCCTGATTCCCTTTTATGGCTGAATAATAACCCATTTGTATGGACATACCACCTTTTGTTTGTCTTCACGTGTGTCTCTCCATTCATTTGGTTTATCTGTGCCTTCTTTCCCCTTTCCCATTCTTGTAGTTGCTGCTTTTTTCCAAGATCGGGCAGGAGGAGTTCTCCCTCACCGCCTCCTGAGGAAGAAAAGGATCATTTTGAGGTGTGGGCTCCTGTTGTTGACTCTGAGGCTCCTTCCCTGGAAAGCCCCCCTCTGCCACCCCCTACCTCACCATCATGCTGTGATTTTGCAAGACCCTCTGATCCTCAGCCTGTGAGGAGGTCCTTGGGAGGGGACCATGCTGTGCCTTTGGATCTGAGTCAGTTAGGAACAGTTTTGGAAAAGTGAACTCTGCTCTGAGCTCTGTTCTCTGAGGCGGACAGAGAGGATGCAGACAAGGAGGTGCAAGCACCTGGGTGGGACCGGGCACAGGGCAGGTGCTGGCGGGGTTGGGCTGCTTTACAGTTGCCTCTGTGTGGGTTGGTTGCATAGAGCTTGGTTGCGACGACTCCTCAAGCTTCCTCTGTAGAAATAAACACTGTGCAGATGTTTGTAAGTTAAGTGTAAGGTGCGGGGGCTGTTGGTTTTGAGCAGAATCCCATGTTTACTCTCTCAGGAGCTGAGTTTCTTATGATGTTTGTTAATGGGCCCAGAAGCGCTGCCCAGGTGACTGATTTCGGGGATCTGTAAGTGGCAGATGTTAAGCTGCCATATTGAATATTGTCCCGACAGAATTGCTATGTCGTTGTTTTCCCACGGGCTCTGTTTTGCTGCAGGCCCCAGAGCACTCTGTTTCTGGCAGGCTGGCCCCTTGCCTGCCTCCTTGCATAGCCAGGGTGGTGAAAATTTATTCCCCCACCTCCTTGCTTTTCCTCCACTGGTCCCACTGAATGGAATGGTGCTGTGACGCCTGTCCTGGGGGTTTCCTGCATATCCCAGGACCTCAGCCTGGTTGTGTGGGGCCTGGGACCTACAAAGTAGGTTGTGCCCACCCAGGAGAGAGAAGTGGCTGTTCACAGCCAGAGGAAAGGCAAATGGCTCCGGGAGCTTTGTTTTGGAAAAGGCTGGCCTGGCCTGTCACTGTTCCATCTGGTTGTAAAGCAGAGACGCAACCATCTTTTATGCAGAGGTAGAACGGGCTCCTGTCTTTGTTGAAACATTTTCTTCTCCCTCAGTGACAGCTCCCTGCCTCCAGGGCTTCAGCCGCTGCAGTGCCCCTCTGCTGTGTGGCAGGGAGGCCATGCGCTCAGTCCAGTGGGGTGCAAGGGCTTTGTTTCTTTCTGGAGAGAGGACCTGGGGGTGGGGGGTGAGGAGCAACTTGCCTTCTTCCTTCAGACTGCGAGGCATTCTGCCCTCCTACTGCCACAGTTCCTCTCCACTGAGAGCTGGAGTGGGCAGGAGCAGAGTGCTGCGGGCATTCGCATTGCTCTGCTCTTAGGTTTGTGTGTGGTTCCTGCCCCTCCTCCACCCGCTGGCTGCCCCACCTGTCTGTGGGCTCTTTCACTACCAGCCTATGCTGTGGGACTGTCGTGGCATTTAGTTCAGAGTTGAGGGGCTTTGGCCTGAAATAAAATTCAACTATTTAAGACTGTTGTTGCAATATGTGTCTAACAAGCTGTAGCAGAGAAGGAGGGAACGAGGTTGGCAGTAGTTCCTTTCATAAATCATGAATTTATCAGTGTGGAAATAATGGTTCAGAGCCGTGCACCGCAGCTCTCCTGCATTGTGTGTGCAGCTCAAGTTCACCACTGGAGAAAGGACTGTTTTCCAAAGAGCCAGGATCCAGCTCTACTCCCAGCAATGGGCATGAACCTTGTTAGGTATAATTTACCTGATGCTGCTTCCATCCTCCAGCCTGTCTGAGGTGCCAGGTGCTGAAAGAGAAATAAAGTTTGTCAACAGGCAGATGCAAAGCCCTGGCTGGGACTCATCCCTCTTTCCTGCCTGCCTCCCCTGAGTCTCTCCTTTATATGATGCAGCAGAGCAAGGCGAGGATAGAAAACCCACAGAGGCAAATCCAAAATGTCAAAAGAAGTTCATTTAAAAGGGGGAAAAAAACTCCATACACAACCCTCACAAAAACCCGACAGATGCTAAGCTAATGGCATCCGCTCTGCCGATTGGTGGGGATGACTCATGAATATTAATAAGTCCAATGCTCCAAATGGTGCAGCTGTGAACCCAGCTGTGCCTGAAGCTCTCTGATCTCGAAACTTCCAGACAGGAGCCGGAGGTGGTCTGTGTCAATTCCCTACTCAGCCAAAAAACAGCAAGCTGGGTTGGCCTTCTTCTGTTCGTTCCTTTTCTTCCTGGAGTTGGTGCTCAGCAGCTAGTTCTGCCAGCAGGGTAGGCTGCTGGGACAGCAGGAACCACTCAAAGACACGAATGCAATTTTTCTGACTCCCAGCCTTTTAAATGATCCATTAACAGCAGTGCATATAACAGCACTTCAGTTAAGCTAAGGCCAGGAACCATCCCCTCATTGTCTTCTGCAGAGTTGAGTGTAGGCCATGGAAAGAGCTGTCCTAAGAAGGGAAGACATTTTCTAATAATGCAGGCCTGGAGTCTGCAGAGAAGCAGCAAAAGTGGACTTCCTTCTCCACCCACGCAGTCCCATCTGCCTCGTGTTTTGCTCTGTCCCTTCGTATATTAAGGGCTAGCCACCATGGCTGATGACCTCTGTGCATGGCCTGCTGAGCTGTTCTGTAGAAGGAAAGTTTTGGGTTTTTTTTTTGGTTAGAATTTAGAATTGAGGTAGGTTCTATGCCTGATGTAGCCACCTTTCTTCCAATAGCTATTTCCATGGCCCAAGGCTAGTCCTCTCCCGTTACTCAGGATAAGTGATCCCAAGCTCATAGGGTTCGTTTTGTTTGGTGGAAGGAAACGTGTGCATGTGTGTATGTGGGTGGAGAGAGGTGGGATTTCTTGTATAAAAATCACTATTTGCACATGCATCTTTTGTCCTTTTCATTTTTGACCTTGGTGCCCAATGAGGAGGGCAGAGCAAGTATTACACTCATTTTCTATCTGAGGAAATTTTTTAGTTGAGCTAAGCATGGTTTTTAAAAATATGCTTTTAGATGGTGTTAGAATATATTCAGGTGAGAGGTCCTTTATAAGCACTGTAAGACAAGGTTGTTCCCCAACTCCCACTCACCCCACTCCCGCTGGGGGTGGGGAGCTTTTTGAAAAGCTAAAACCACCACCACTCGAGGAAGAAAGTCCCCCTGCTTTTCAGTTCTCAGAAGTCACCTCCACAGTTCCCAGTTTTCTGACTGCTGAGGCCTTTGATCCAGACTACCAAGTCCTAAGCACCTTGTACCCTCTCTGGTAGCTTTACTAGGGAGGTGGTCAGGCCTTTTTAACAATCTGATCGAACATTCAGTTAGCTCCAGGTTTGTGAATATGTTTGTATGCCTTAGTTCTTGCTGAATATTTTAATAATATCTAGGGGTGGGGAGGACAGTGGGCCAGGAGGATGCAAGGTGGGACTGGTGTAGAAATGGAAACAGACCAGCTCCTGGCTTGCCTCATGGAGGCCGCAGGAGCATTCAGTTGGGCTGGAGTGGCATGTGCGGATTTATGTGTGAGCAGCCAGCTGAGACTCGGCTAAAGCCAAGCAGATAACCACTGTAGTGCGAGTTAGTGAGTTCCTCAGTCAAGCCTGGGCACTGATCCTAAGCTACCCCTCTCGGGCGGCCCTCTGCCAGCAGGGACTTGGCTCTGTAGAGGGCGCGTTGCCCAGCACGAGGTAACCTTTCTTTGAACTGTGGATGAGTGTCCCCGTTTCCATTCTTACCACTGTACCTTTCCTGAAGGCTTGGAAGCCCCCCTCATCTCTAACTGATGGCCTGTCTCAGCTCTTCTCTCTAAGGGGCTGTTTCAGGAACCGTGGCAAAGACCAAGTGGGCGTCTGGCTTCCAACAGGGCAGCAGGAGCTGGTCCTCATGACTTATTAGAGAAATAATGTGGGTAAAATCAGTTTTACTTTAGTGATGGAGCTGGAAAGCTGCAACCTCAACTCACAAGATACAATAAATACAGACAGTTTATACTCAGAAGGATAACAAGAGCCACACTTTTTAGGAGACAGTGCTCCTGACTCAGTAAGTAGAGTGAATAATTTTACCTCCTTTTTGTTAAGGGGAGACCTGGTCCACTTCTGCAGGCAGAGGAGGAGAAAAACAAGCTGTTCTTACATAGCAGGGAAAGGGGCCTGAACGATAGAAGGGGGAGATGGCAAAGCTAGAGTGTGAGAATTAAAGAGATAACCTGAAAGTCTTGAAGGCTTCTTTCCCCCTGGAAGGGCACGAACACTATTTGCTTCTGTAATCTTTGGGTTATGGGAGCCACCAGCCCCAATTATTATCTGTGGCCATCAAGTCCCTCCTTCTTGGCCTTTAGCCAAGCACTTTTTCTTTATACCATCCATTTGGAAGGGGCAGTTAGTTCACATCCTTCAGTGTTCTTGCCCTGTGTGTGTGTCGCTTCCCTGGTGGCCATGGTATGGAAAGCCAGGCCCACCAGCAGCTCAACCTGAATTCCTCCAGCAGAAGGCCCAGAATAGTGAGCCCGAGGCGGTTTGTTGGAGGCAGTGCAACCTGCCCATACGAGACTTAGATATATTCTACCAATTAGGGCACATCTGTTCCAAATGCTGAAAGGCGGGCACTGTCTCTTTAAGAGCCATCCCACTCCTCTCCTTGAGTGATGAGGGCTGGGAGCTCAAGGGAGTCAGATGCTGATTAAACAGTCCTACTGCCGAGCTCTGTTAGAAAATTACTGTAATTATGATCTAGTCCCAGCAGAGGGATGAGTTCCAATCCTGCTAATAACCCTTCCAGGTGCCTCAGATTCAGGCCCATGGGAGGCAGCGTCGACAGGGCTCTCACTGGCACTAGGACCAGCGACGGCCCTCCTGTCTGGCCTGTGCGGGCAAATACAATAAATGCACTGGACCCCACATCCTAGCTCGGCCTCCCGAGAAAGCAGTGGGTTTTGGTTGTGTCGTGAGGGTTTTTTTGTTTTTGTGTTTGGTTCTTGGTAGCTCCTGGGAGTCATTTTGTGGGAGGAAACTTTCCCCTAAACTAACATGAAGGACCAGGAAAATCACAGCCGTGAGATGCCAGTCTGTCCCAACTCCTCACTTCTGCTTGGGGACTGCCAGGAGCACTGCGCCAGCCTGACCCAGAGCAAAGCCGAGGGGAGCCGAGCTGCTGCCTTGCGCTGCACAGCTGCCTTCCGCTGCACTGTCTTCTGCACTTGTGTCTATGAACCTGTGTTTCTTGCTCTCAGGTAGAACACAGCATTTCACTTGGTCCTGACTAAGAATTTCAGGAATTTCTGCCACTGAAGAGGGAATCAGGGATAATGGACAAAGCTGTAGAGAGAGATTCGCTGTAATTCAGCTCTCCAGATTGGCAAGTACAGGTTTATTCACGTGAAAACATCAGGCTTATTCACATGAAAACATCGGTTTTGTAGTACAGCTCTGCCGCAGTGCCGGCCAGCAAATCTCAAAGGTGCCCGTGGAGCGTCAGGGCTTGCTTGCTGGTTCCTAAACCCTGAGGAATTCATGGCATTTGTGCTCTGCATGTTTCCCAGCCTAGCCTTGAGCTGCTCCTTATTGCTAAAGCACAAACTTCTAAAAGACAGGGCAGCCTCTCGGTGCTTGGTTCTAAGCACACACAAGTGCCCCGAGACAGCGGTTCTCGGCCAGGGGTAATTTTTTACCCCTGGGGCACATCTGAAAACATTTTTGCTCGTCAGAACTGGGGGGGGGGGTGCTGGGTATTACTGGTATCTAGTGTCTAGAGACCAGGGATGTTGCCCAATAACATAAAATTATCTGATCTAAACCGTCAGTCATACCAGGTTGAGAAACCCCGCACTAACAGAAGGAAGTACTAAGCTCCAGGTTCTGCCCCCCCCCAAACGCCCCCTGCACCGCCATGGAGATGTGGAAGGAACAATGGCCAGTTCCCAGATGCCAGGGGCTTTGCCAGAGGCAGAGTCTGTCAGTGGCAGGCCAAGCAGGGCGCCTACCATGGGAAGCTTCCAGCAAATGTGGGTGGTGTGCATGTGCTCCCCTGGTGATTCAAGGCAGGACATGCTGGGCGGAGTGTCTGACTGTGGGGCCGAGGGGCGTGTCTGTAGCGTGTTTTCAGGCCCATGCTCAGGTGTGGGGGGATAAACGGTGGCCAGCTGCTCACCATCAGGTTAAGAGTGTCTGGTAGAACCAGATGCCCTCTTGGAGGACCAGCACTAGAAGACTCTTGGAATTTATTCCCATCACAGGAGGCAAGGAGGTGGCCCACTGTTGCCCAGTGCCACAGAAATGCTTTCCTCAGTGGCACGCTGCCAGGTGGAGGGGTGGCAGGCTGTGATGGGGCCCCACGGGGGACATGAACACACACGGCTACTGACAGATGCCAGCCCCACAAGCAGCATGACACCAGGCCCCTCAGAACTGCCCGGGCATCAGGAAAAGAAGGCCTAATTGGCAGGCTTTGCCTAGGAGCCAGGCCTGCAGAGGAGAGGCCTTCATTAGAGGGACATCATGCCAGGAGAGCCAGGCCAACTACGG